ATGAGCCAGTAACACGGAATAAAATAAACTGCCGATTTTGCATGTGAAAATATGTATAACTAGCAAGAACCAACCTGAATGGACAAAAAATAATAACAAAATTCAGTGGGCAGCTCAAGTGGCCAAGGAGTGTGCAATATAACCCTTTTTGGGTGTAGGGACAGTGAGGTGTGGGAAGAGAGGTCAGAGCTTATTTGTATAACAAAGCTTCACATTGTTTTTAGCAGTGTTTATTGAAGTCATCTCCTCCTCCTCTTTGGGCTCATGCCCTAAAGATGATTCATTTAAAAGCAGTATCCTGTCTCAAGGCTTTGCAAACCCAAACTGGACAAAATCCCCAACAATGGATCCAGAGATGACTTTGCTATATTGGTGGCAAATTCCTGAGACTGGCCATGATGGCCCACTGACCTTTGACAGTAACTTTATCCTGCCATCAAAGACAATCTGTCAAACAAATTCAACCCACCCACAGTCTGAAATTTCTTTGAGATCCTTCCGATCTCACTTATCTCCTTGTTCTCAATTCCACCAAGCCTTTCTGTCCAGCTACTGTGTAGGGTGTCATGCTTAAACTGTGGGAGATTTATTGATGTTATTGGAATTAATAAAGATTGTTAATGCGTCAAACATGTGTTTGATAAAATTTCTCTATATGTTCCTTCTAATATATATACTGGAAGCAATTTTGAATAGCATATTAACTATTTCAGGGTATCAAGTAATTGTTTGGTTTGTTTCCCACAAAAACTATCTAGACTTGGAGTTTTATTTTGTTTTTCATTTGTAGTGAGGATTTTCTTTGCTACTGTAATCAGAAGGTTTTAGTAACAGCCTTGGACATTAAGAACACAATGACCAGAAATGAAAATACAGTACAGATCAGTGGAATTTTTCCTTTTTGGAAGCCAACTGAACAGTTTACAGGAAGTATGATTTTTAATTTTAAGTTATTATCAACATTATCTCTAGAAAACACAATTTAGCAGTCCAAACAATTTAATAACAAATAATGAAGAAAAATTTTGATATCAGTAAAATACTTCAGATCACTAAGAATATAAACTGGAGTTTGTATTCTTATCCTTGATGCTATGTCGAATTTGTTATCATAAATAAAATGCAATGTGAGTGCAGCAAATTAATAAGGCCAGAAATGCTTGTTTTATGACTTTTGGTTTTCAGTTGTGTTTAAACCAAAAGAAATTCCAAGCAAAACTTGAAAGTTATAAGAGTATTTTTGGAAAATTCTTAATGTAGATAACTTTTTTAAAATTCAAGGAAGAAGAATATATTGTTTAACATGAACTTAGCCAGGTATAGTGGTGCAGGCTGAAATCCTACTAACTCACAAGGCTGAGGCAGGAGGATCACAAGTTCAAGGCCATCCTGGGCAAATTAGCAAGGCCCTGTCTAAAAATAATGATAAAATAAAAAGTTTAGAGGTGTAGCTTAGTGATTAAATGTTGTGAGGTTTAATCTCCAAGTATCAGGAAAAAAATTAAAAAGAACATGACTTTTTATGTTGCTCTATTATGAAGAGATTTTTGCAATCCCTCCAAAATGTTTTCAAATAATTATTATTACTGCAATATCACATCTGAAATGAAATATGTAAGAAATATACAGAACAAATCCAATTTTCAAAAAGTATGACATCAGAATTATTGTTGGATAGGCAGTTAAAGGATAATCTCTTTTACCAACTGCTACATCATATATAAATGTAAGCCATCATATGGTTAAATTGCTAAATAATATCCAAGAAAAAAGAAAAAAAAATTCCTTGCTATAACAGAAACTTTTACATTTAAGTGCTGCTAATAATTCCTAAGCTGATTGAGCACAACAGGAATATTATATTGACAATATAACCCACATGTTTATATAAATATTTTAAGTTTACTAAAAATTAAAATATGAATTTCATGTTCAGAGTTAGTCAGCCAGGAAGTAAAAGAGTAAGGAATTGCCTAAGTTACCTAGAAATTACTTTTTATGTCTTTTTGAACCTACCTAAAATATTGTTAAGAAATAATGTTTTGTAGTATAGTATAAGTTTTACATATGACAAATATGGGCAAATAAAGGATAAAACTTTTATACTAGCCAATTTACTATCCAGGTATTTGAAGTTTCTGTTTAAAATTGCTTTATTTTAAAATTAATCATTTATGAAGATCTTCATATAAGATGTTCAAAAACCATTTTCTAACCTAAAAGTAAATCTTATATCTGTGTTTTTTACAATTGATCTTTTTTAATTAAATAAAAGCAAACTGCTCTCTCCCTATAAATTCTCCCATAAATAAATAAAAAATAAAATAAAACTACTCTGGATTAAGAAAGGTAATGATTTACAATGTCAAGGCAATGAAAGTTTAAGTCCATGTCAAGGGTTTCCAGACTTTAGAGTGCATCTTGATCATCACCACAGGTGATCAACTGGCATTGCTCAGTAGCACACTCTGAATTTCTGATGTAAAAAGTCTAGAAGAGGTCCTTGAATTAGTACTTCTAACAAGCTCCAAGATAATGCTGATGCTGAAGATTCCAGGCCACAGTTTAAGAATCAAACAACTGTGATATGTTAAACAAATTTGAAAAGAAATATATAAATGAATTTTTAGCCCACCTAATATGGGTAACATTTATGATGGCCAGGGAAGGTGATTAATATTTTTTTTTCACAAAGCTAATTCTATTCCTAGTTATGTGACTAATAACCACATCAATATTAAAACAAAGACCACCACCTTACTCATAATCACCAGTTCAGTTGTGGAACTACCTTCTCCTTTATTGTTAAGTGACACAGGCTCAAGAGTATGTTAATGAAATTGATTTCAATTTATGTCTACTACTGGACCTTATGAGTTCCCACTGCCCAAAAGGAGATTTATCAAGACAAACAATCTAACCAAAAGTGACAGGAAAATGGTAACATTCCCTTCTAATCCTTGCAGTTGCAGCCACCCTTGTAGTATTCCACCCCTTCCCATTTTTTGTCACTTCTTGTTAACCCTCTACACACACACACACACACACACAGAGAGAGAGAGAGAGAGAGAGACAGAGAGAGAGAGAATTTTAAAAGCAAAACAAACTCCTTTTAGCTAGGATGATCTGAACCAGTGGGAGAGAAATGCAAACCTGGACATGGATGAGAGGGATTCAGACTTCCCAAGACCAAGGAATAGCCCTTTGAGAAGACTTTATCACCAACAATCCTCATCCCAAGAATACCAGCCTCTTACAGCTGTTCAGAGGACAAGAGTCCAGCAGAGTCACAAGAGCACTAAATGAATTTCTCCTCTCTTCAAGTCCCACCGCCTGCTTCCAGTCAATCTTTGAGGAGACTGAGCGTCTGGCTCCCGCACTCAAGTACCACAAAACACACACACCCACCACCATTACCGCTGCTACAACCGCCGCTGCTGTCAGGCAAGTCCTCTCATTTGGGAAGGTGGGGGAGGGGCGCCGAAACTAAGATGCCTAGAGGAGGCAGAAAGTGAAGGTTTCTAGACCCAAGCCAAGGAGGGAACCTAGGAAGAAGGCAGGAAAGAGGAGTAGCAGATGGAGCACTGGAGGGACCCGAGCTCTCTGCAGCAGACCACCCCTTTCCACTCCCCAGCACTGCTCAGCCCAGGACATAACGCACAGGAATGCTCACCCGCATTCCTCCTCAAACATCCGCCCACTCTGCACTACGTGTTATCGGAGAGTTTGAGGACTTAAGGTCCACTTGGCACCCATGACCATTCCGCAGTCAGTTCTAGGGTCTGCGGGGAAAACTCTGACACTTCTGCAAATACTCCTGCCTTTCGGCCCCCGAGGCAGTTATTGACCTAGCCCTGCACTGCTGGAATCTAAACCCCAGAGTGAAACCAAAGATAATGTGAGCTTCATTTCCAGCACACATTCCATGGGTATTGAAGCAGGGTCGGGAGCTGTGGGCCAGTCTTAGCCTGCTATCCTCCATAGGGCTGCCCCTTAACCTTAACCTCATACCATAACTTGAGGACATAAAAGTTCTTTTTCTCTGGGGCACCGCCTGCTTGTCCCAGGAGAGGACTTACATTTTAGCCCATTACTAGCCTGTGTGTGTGAGTGTGAGTGTGTGTGTGTGTGTGTGTGTGTGTGTGTGTGTTTTCAATGCCGAAAGCCAAGAGTGCCAACTGCTGACAGGCAAAGGAACCTGAATTTGCTTCTGAGGACTTCAAAACCTTCCAATTAACAAGCTCACGCTTGTTATGTCCTAACCCTTCCAGATCTGGGTTTTCTGGGGAAGAGCTGAGATAGTGTTCTGGTTACTGCGAGCTGATGTCCTGCCCTGGAGCGGAGACGCGCGGACTTGGTCGTCCGTTCATTCATGCATTTGCTCATCCATTCACACAAACATGTCCCTTAATTGTGTCTGGCACTGAGAATCTTGCCTGCTATTTCCCCTCCCCAAGTCAGTGCTCATGGCAACGGCTGGTGCAGAACGCAACTCAACTGTCACCCCACTTCCTGAGCCGGAAAATCAAGTCATGTAGGCATTCACAGAAAAAGAAAAAGGTGGAGAGAAGGAGGAGGCGGGCGGGGGTGGGGGCGGAGAGGGGTGGGGAGACTTACGGGGGTCACATTCGAAGCTTCCCTTCGGGGGAAACCGCGGCAACGACACCGCGGCATGCAAGGAACCAAAGCATTAAATAGAAGACTGCTAGAGCTCATGTCCCCCGCGGGGATAAATCAAGTGCAAAGATACTCATACGCTGAAGTGCGATGTTGCCGGCTCGACCCAACTCTGAGCCCCGAGTCGAGGCGCCGGGGGAGCCGCTGGCAGCCCAATCCGCAGCGCGCTCGCTGCCTCCTTATCGCTCCCAATAACGTGATGAAGTGTAAATCAAATGCCACGCCGGGAGGGGCCCTGGAACGGCGCGAGTCGTGCATTTTAGCTCACCAGCCTATCTTGCCCAAGAATCACAAGGTCACGATAGCGTCGCGATTCCACTCACCGTACACTCCTTGGCCAGAGATCCCCTCCAGGAGGACTGTCAGCAGCCACACGAGACCGTACACTAAATCCATCTTCACGTGAACATGAACATATCCAGCCCAGGGGGGATGCAGTGGGACCTTCCGGAGGCCGGCGGCCAGCCAGGCGCGCTCCAC